TGCCGTTTCGTCGTGTCGCAACCGTCTCTCCTTTTTTTTTTTTTTTTTTTTTGCTTCCTCTTCTTTTTCTTCTCGTTTCGATTGATAGCCAATTGCGAAAAAAAGATCGCGCGGCGAGATTTGCCTACGAAATCCGTTTAAAATGTTCCTCGGGAGCTGTTCGGACCATTAACTTTTTGCTTTCTTTTCTTCTTGGGTTTTATCTTCGACGCGTGATCAGACGCTCGGATGTATATATTATACATTTTTGCGTGACTGTGACGGGCGTTTTCGGTTTTCATTTCTAGAAATATTTTAGAAAGATCGCACGTACTGAACAAGGGATCTTTGACATTTTATTTAAATCTTGAGATAGTCTTTTAATTTCAGAGTGACACGAGAGCATCGTGTAAACGAAACGTTCTTCTGAACGACAAAATGAAAATGAAAAAAAACCGTAGAATAATCGAGTCATCCCTTGTCAGATATAGACAATTAAAAAATTGTGAGACGTATGATTTACAGGCGTATAAATTTCGCGTGACAAGTCAACGTTCCGCCGTGAATAATAATCACTCTGCGAAAGGAAGTGCAATTTATAGCGTGCATCCTCGCTCGGTCCACATTCCATTGTGAGCGATAATAGATGACGAAAGCTGTCGGCGATGCAACGACAGAATCGCAATGTAAATAACGCTTTTCACTGTTGCGTCTAATTGTCATTGTTCCGAGAGAAATCAAGATGTAACTCGCACGTCATGTTCGAATTGAGAGAAGTAGGTTGTAATTCGATTATCTTGCATACACTGTGTACACACGCTTCCTCAAGTCCGCGAGTCTTCGTCGTCGCGTTTATGAGAGATTGCAACAAACTTGCGCTGTTTGCGTCCATGCTAATTAACCTTAATTAAGACGTTACAGTTTCAAACGGCTCGCCTGTCCAATTTTCTTTCAGCAAGTAGACGGTTACACACCTGGTGTGGATTACCCGATCTACGATTCAGTACCTTTCGGCCTCACGTTTACCTGCGGAGGCAAGTTACCTGGTTACTACGCCGATCCCGAAGCTAGATGTCAGGTGAGCATAATTCAATCATCTCGTCAACTAACCATCTTCAACCGTGAACGAATGGAATTTTGAATTTTTCTTTTTCAGGTCTGGCATTGGTGTTTGCCAAACGGTCGTCAGTTCAGCTTCCTCTGTCCAAACGGCACAGTTTTCAGCCAATCGGCACGCGTCTGCGATTGGTGGTTCAAGGTACACCTTCCTCGATCCATTGGCGACATCTTACAAGCAGTCTAATTGTTTTGAGAATTAAAATTAAAACAACGGAAGTTATAAATTGGAGAAATTGGATGAAGAAACTGCAAAAACAGAAAAAAGATGTCGATCGCTGACGGGTTATCTTTCATTTTTATTTAAAGCGTTGCTTGTGGGATGAATGTCTCAATTTTCGTTATCTCTGTCCAGAATCTGAACC